TGTGATATTGAATTTCTTATTTAGGAGCATTTCAATTTTTGAGTTTTCTAAGTATCAATAATTGGAATAATATTTATTTTAAAGGCAGCACGATAAATTGGAACAATAAATCAACAACAGAAGTAATAAGGTTTGTATGAAAATTTTAATAAGTATTGAAATAATTAATAAAAAATTGAAATTTATAGTTAAATTGCATAAAAAATGGAAATTCTTAGTTTTATTTTATGTTTTTGCTCATCATTTAATAGAAAATGAATAAAGTACAAAAAAAAATTTTAATATATTAAAAATATAATTAAGTGATTCTTTTAATATTATATTAAATTGAGTTTATTAATCAAATATAAATAAAGAATTATATATTAAATTTTATTTTAATGAAATAATAGAAATTGTTTACGTGTTAAGATATAGCACATGAAAATGAAGTCATATAAGGGTTTTGTTTAAATTTTGGATGTTAAGATGCAAGATCTTAATTCTGTCTTTAATGTGGATTTGACCCTAAGTAACATACTAATTGCAAGAAAGATCTAAAAGGATTTGGTTAGATTGAAAGTTTTATCATTAAATTTAATTAGTATATACTTGAATTAACTACTTAATTGAATAAATCTTATTAATCAGTCAAAATAAAATATGAAGAATTCATAAAACAATTGGAGAAAATGAAAATATAATTATTAAAGATATCTGAATATTTAAGTTAATAAGAATATAAATAAATCAAAGACAATTTGTTAATAATTAAGGAATGCTATTAATTTTCAAATAATTAAGAGGAGATCATTAAGTAGAATTAAATTGGTATTTTTACATTATTAATTATTTATAGGAACTTAATTAATTAATATAAATAGAATGATTAAAGCTTTTGATTTAGATAAAGAATAATAATAAATTAAAGATATTAAACAATAGAGTGAAATTACACTTGAGTAAGGTATTAAATTTCTATAAAATTATATATTAGGAATATAATTATTAAATCAAAAGAAATGGTATGAGGCTAATGAAAAAATAAATTAATACTTAAAATTATTAGAAAAACAAAAATCATTTGCAATTATCTTTTAAAGTACTTCTCAAATATTTATATAATTAAGGTATGACTTTAATTGAAATGAATCAACCTGGAAAAGGTATAAATATGAGAGAATAAGCTAAATAGATTAATAGTAACCTATATACAGATCTTTTGGATTATTCAAATAAAGAACTAACATAAAATCCATAAAATACGTTTGTTTTAATTTCAAAAAGTAAATAAAATCAATAATTTTAATAGGTTATGCATTAAATGAAGAGAAGAAATATCAAGAAGCAATCAAATAATGTGATAAAGTTTTGATAGAAGAACCTTAACATCTAATTGCATTATATAGAAAAAGTAATCATATATTATGTACAACAGGCTTTTCTTTAGAATATTTGAATTAACATTCATAAGCAATTTAGTGCATTGAAAAAGCATTAAATTCCGATTTAAAATATTCTATTGGTTATATGATGTAGGATAATTTACTTGTTTTATATTTTAAGGGTAGTCATTATAAAGTCTTGGTAAATATAAAGATGCAATTGACTGTTATGATAAAGCAATCCAACTGGATCCTAATTATGCAAAAGCCTATAAGATTAAAGGTTAATCAATTTATTTAATTTTAATAGGTTATTTACTAACGTAATTGAAGAAATATTAATAAGCAAAAGATAATTATGAGCAAGCAATTTAATATTGCAAATTAGAATAAAATGAGTTTAGACAACTAATTTAGAAATTAACAAATATGAAATGAATATGTTTAGGCATCATTAATAAAATATTTATCATAAATAATCCTATAATATTTCATAAGATAGTACTTTTGTTATAATTCTTAACCAAACTACTCTCCCTTTCCTTTTATAATGAAAAATAATTTTTATTCTTTTGGCAATATTTTTTATTTCTATTCATACTATATATCTTTATAATATCTTTTTCTTAATTAAAAAATACATATTAATCATGTAAATTCCTAATAATAATAAGAAGATTTGATTTTAATTTATTTGTCATATAAACAATGAATCTTAAAATAAATATATTTTAATTTTTAAGAATTAAATCTAAGGATCTTTTTTAATACTAAATAACCTTTTCATTTTAATCTTAAAATCGAAGACATTTAACCAAAAATTAAATAATCTTTTAATTCTTTAAGTTTAAATCATAACCAATAAAATCTTAATAATTGATTTTTATCAAATCTGCAAAGTATGATAAAATGGATTAATCTAATGGAATCTCTCTTCTAAACTGAGAATAGTTTCTGAGAAGAAGGTGTCTAAATATATCTAATAGTTGAAATTTATGTGATTTTAATTTATTTTAAATATGGGAGGATACAGATTGTAATTCATTAATGGAATATTAGAAAATGGGAAAAGGTTCATCCAAGCTGAAGAAAAAGCACAGAGTACAAACCAAATCACAAGAAAAAAAATTATGATAAGAATTATTAGTAACATTTAAAGTAGAATAAGAAAAGATATAGAAATTGACTTTTTTGTACGATTACATACATATTATAAATTGATAATAAAAATTGTTTAATAAAGTGTTAAATTCAAAATTTGAATATTTAAAGGCTAGCTATTTATAAACTATAAATATGAAAAAAATTGTTTTATTAACATGCTAAATTGGAACTGCTCTAAAACTCTATTTAATTAAAATCACTACATTCAATTAAAAGCCAACTATAGAAGATTTGTAACTCTATTTTAAAGAATAATAAAATGGTAGAGTTTTTACATTGATTAATGAATTTAGTTAGTTCATCTATAGTTCTATAGTGGTTAAATAATTTTTTAAGAGTCAATACACCTGGATTTGGATATTAGGATACTATTAATACAATTAAAGCACATTTATTATAAATTAGAAAATATTGGTATCTCTATTATTTATATTAATATTTTAAAAATCCTTTATTAAAACAAGCAGTTATTCTAGATTTTTAGGATGTAATCGAGGCCTGACTCAAAGAAGTAAGGGTATAAACTGAGATTCAAGGGCCCTAATTGATCACTGAAGTGTCTAAAGGAAAGGACAATCTGTTCTCTCTCCTTTAGATAATTGTGGACTACTAACTGTCGAGTTTTGAGAATTTAGACGAGTTTTAGGAATAAGGAAGAATAACTAAGACATAAGGATTGTAATAATCTTTAAATTCCTCTCTCCATTTTAGAAAGCTCTGAATGATAAAGGAGTCTCAATACTAATATTTGTGGGTAGTGTATGATTGATACCACAAATTAAACAAAAATTATTGATTAGATTTAAAAGGTTGACACACTTATACTTGGAAAAGGACAATAATAGAATATAGAGATGTTCCACTGTTTAACACCGTTATGCTACCATGGTAGAATTAGGCTAGGCGATATGTTGAACCCTCCATTTTAATTAAAATTTAATGGTAGATTTAAATAAATCATCTTTATAAAAAGAGTGGCAAATTTTTATTATACATGGTTAAACATTATTTTCTAAGAAGGCGAATAACTTTATTTAAATGATTTAATTATTAATAAAGAATATGTAATATCAATTTCTAATAAAGGTACCTTTACTTTGGCAATAAATATCGTTCAAATTAATAAAAGGAAATATTTGGGAATAATATTTGACACATTCCAAGTATATAATTCCCTCAGAATAAATTGATTTTATTATATGAATGAATTATTTTCTACTGTATAACTACAATCATTATTTCTATCGATAATATCCAAAATGTTATCAGGTATCTGCTATATAAAACTCAAAATATCAATATTTTTTATAATGAAAATTTTATTGCTTAAACTAAATGAATATAATAATATAGGAGAAAGGAAATTAGCAAACTTTATATTGAAATGTATTTTAATTACTATCTCTTTTTGATCTATTTATGAAAAATTAATGAAAAGTAATCCAAATATTAAAATATCCTTCTCAGAAATATATCATGTTTAATAACAAATTTAAAGTTCATTATGATTAATAATATTATAGGG